AATGTGTCTTTCATATATCTATTTAAATATTTTTAGATATACAAAGATATAGATCAATCATTATGTGTTTATCTTTATTGTATTATATGGTGAATCAAACAGAATGAGAGTGCCACATGCTGCAACCAGTTGTAACTTGGTAAGTTAGATGTATAGGAAGACTAGACTTCAGGATGTTCATTGCTTTGCAAATAAGACCTTTTCAAAGTTCCTGGGTCTTACTGTCATTGAAAGTAGAATTTTCCAAAGAATAAAGTCAAAACCTAAATTTGAACAACAGTAGATGCCAGGAACTGAGAATAAGAACCTGAAATACTTGCTTAACTATCATTTCCTCTGACTTTCAAGAATATTCTATTTATAGAAATATTTGAAGTGATAACATTATCTACATGTAACACAATATGAAAATGAGGCTCAGAGGGATGAAATGACTTGCCCATGATCACATAACCAATGAGTCTTAGAAGTAGAACTTAGTTAACTTAATTCAAGTGAGTTAGATTTGTAACCCTCTATTGTGATTTTTTGTTTCATATTAAAAATCTTCTGATCTACTGAATGTGATTTCCTTTCAAATGGCTATAATCTTAAATCTTTGATTTGTAATAAGTACTTTTGTAGAATTAATTTGTGGTCTTATGTAATTTTTATATTATCCCAGTTATCAGCATTTCTGTGTGTACATTTAAAATTGAACCCTAGTTAACAATATCATCATTATATGTGTTGTCATTAGCATTGAATATATGGGAGCACAATAATGGAATGAACCTGCTATTGCTGTTCATCATAAAGCTTGTCTAAGCGTATACATCACTGCAGAAAAAATGACTGAGAGAGTCAACTCAAAAGAAGGAAGGGATATTTTTGGTTCATTGTTTCAGAAGTTTCAGCCAATGGTTGCTTGGCATTATTGTAGTGAGGTTGTGTTGGGGTAAAACATTGTGTTGAATAGGATACAGTAAATGTTCTTTCTATGTGACACATCACAGTAGCCAAATAAAAACAAAGAATAAGGTACAAGGCATAGCCTCCAAGGATATACTCCCAGTGGCTTACTTCCCCCAACTACGACCGACTTCTTAAAGTTTCTATCACCTTGCATTAGGACATTTAATAATGAGCCCATTACTAGGTTAATCCATTGCTAAGATCAAACTCACCTGATTCAATCATGGTCCCCAAATTCTATCTCTGACATTGCATTGAGAAAAAAACTCCTTATACTTTGTGCTTTTAGAGTCATTCCACCACATCCAATGCATAACACGAGGTAATCATACCAGAATATTCATGAAATGATAACCATGGTTCATGAATCAGAGATTGGGAGTATTAAGCTTCCTTATAGTAGAAAGACCTGATAAGAGCTGTGTGAGTTAAGGAAGGCCTTCATGAGGAAAGAATTTTTTAATGTAGTTGAGTATTGCTTGAGATTAAGCACTACAGCAAGCACAAGAAACTCAAAATGGTTAGAAAGGACAGGCTGAAAAAGGGACAAGGTGAGGGAAAGTATAAGCGTATTCAGATCATGTGGGACTTCTAGAACATATTAAGTAATTTTCTTGTGCTCAAAGATCAGTGGACAACCATAGCATTAATTGGAGGCTATGCATGGTCAGATTCTAACGTTAATCCTTCAATCTGGTTGGAGAATATTTAAAGAGGTTGTTGGTTCTAGTGGACTAGTAAGGTGCATAACACAACAGCATAAAAATCTCACAACTGGTTTTGGGGAAGTTAAGATGGAAAAATGGGTAGGCTTGAGAAATAGTCAGAAGACAAATCAATGGGGCTTTGTGAAAACTTCATTGTGGAGACGGATGGAAAGGCCATCTCAGAGAGTGTGCTTTGTCCAGTGGTTGATGACAGTGGAGTAGATACCACAGAAGAAGATCAGAGGGAACTTTGAAACATTTATTTTAGCATGGGAGGAATTTGAAGATATATAGAGATATGAAGCAGAAATGATCAAAGAAGCAGATGGATGACTAAGTCATATGTGTTTGTGTGTGTGGTTTATAGAAAAAGACCAGGGAAATTATAGTATCATAATATTGCCTAATAGAGATTCTGCATTTCTAACAAGCCCTTGTTACGTAATGGTGATGCATCTGGCCCACAGTCATATACTGAATAGCAAGGCTCTGAATGACCTTTCATCAGAATTATCTGCCACTCAGATGGTAAGAGTTTCTGAATCTTTTCTGAGATAACATACAGCAAAGCCATACACTCTGCTTACATTCAAACTAAACTCCATGCATTTGTTTTAATAATACTTAAATGTAGAAAAAAGTGACTCATTTTAAACAAACAAACAAACAAACAAACAAATAAAAACTGTATGGTGTAGTGTGAGACATTCCTTTACTCCAGCTTCAAATCTGTTCACTTTCACTATCATCTACACCACACAGAAACTCTGGGCCTTATTGTATCCCTACAGGCCTGATACACCAGCCAAAATAAAATCAATTCCCAGAAATGTATCTCTTCAGTCGATTCTATATGGAAAAAGTTCTCTCTCGTTCTCTTTCTCTGTCTCTCTGTCTCTCTCTGTGTCTCTGTGTCTCTGTGTCTCTGTCTCTCTCTCTCTGTCTCTGTGTGTGTGTGTGTGTGTGTGTGTGTGTATGCACATGAACTTAAGAATGTCCCCAAAATAGAGATAAAAGTAAAAAAAAAATGATTGTCCCATATGTACTATTGTAATGATGCTCAAAGTAAAACAACTTTTAATACCTTCTTTCAAAACACAGAGCCATGTTATATACCAGGAGGAGGTAAATAAAGGGAGTTATAACAAAGTCACAATTGTGACTCGCTATTATTTGAGATCTGGAAGACGATTTAGAGAGGATCTAGTTTACCATCTTCATTTTACTTCTCAGTTTTCCTCAGTTTAGACTCTATACCTTTTAAGTCACAGAACGAATTCTCATCTTGCTAATGAATTCTTTATCCACTTTTATCTTACTTGGCATTTTCATGTTTTGTAATGCATTGGTCTTTTCATGTTTCTCAGTTTTTTCCCTTTGTGACATATTGGACTGCCAGATTGTCTCCTATTCCATCTTTTTGTCACTCATATCCTCTTTACCTGGCCTACAGACATTTGAATCCCTAAAGTCTATATTCTAGTACCCCATTTCTTCTCAGGTCTGCAGTATCATAATTTGTATTTCAGTGGAATCTTCCTGTGTTTAAAAAGTGAAAAGAACTTAGTTTGTTCACCTCTGAATTTACCTTTGAAAAAGTATAGAATTTTTTGTTACTTTGCTCTGATATTTAAGCCAACCCAAGAATAAGCTTGTCATTTATGGGGTACATTTAAAGGTAGTAAAGCATCCTCAAATCAAATCCTGTAATAGAGTACCAAGGTGGCTAAGGAGTTATATTTCATGGACAAATGCAAGTTCCTTACTCATTTCATGGTAGGGCACACATTTTCAAGGGAAACTAGTTGCTAGTGTTAAAATATTTCTTCTTTCTCTTTTTATTAATAGTATTGGTAAATTTAACTGGAGAGAGCAGGTTATCTGATATACTGTTTTACTGGACTGTGAAACTTTCATTACTTTCAGTCAGTTGTCAGTCAGTATGAGACAAGGAAAAAAGGCAATTATTTGACCCTTCCTCGTGATTAACACTCTGTACTGGGGAGGTGGAAGTAAGCCCCCAGTCTCACTTTTCCTTGCTCCATTTCTGTCATGGAACCCAGTTCAAACCTTAATCACGGCAGGAAAAGATTGCTACTGCCCCCTGCTGGCTCACCATCTTTCTTTTCCCCTTTCGGTATTTATCAGTGACTTGAGGATGCCCAAAGATTTTATGCAACTGAACAGTAGAACGAACTTTCACAAGTAGGAAGATAGTCCATTAGCAACAAGAGGCTAAAATCAAAACAAAACACTCAGGAGCTGAGAAAGGCAGTAGATATTCTAAATTAAATTGGTGATCTCCACGAACCTTTTTTTTTTTTTTTCTTCTCATACGCGAAAGCTTCTCTATGCAGAGGAAATACACTTTCCACTTCAGCACAGGACTTCTTTTGTCCGTTCGCTTCCATTGACCAGATGTTGACTTTCCATATCACTATTTTAATTTCAGTAGGCTGGATCTTGTTCTCTGTTTTCCTAGTTTACTTTTCTGATGCTTAAGCCTCCTTCACTCTCTTCTGCTTCAAACTCCTGTCCCGCCTACCCACAGTCAGACTAGCATTTCTAGGAGCTCGACCGCAGCCTCACCTCTTCCCTCTACACAGACTCTTTTAGTTGTCATCGCACCCCTTTCAGTAGCCCCTCACCAAAGAATCAGCCACTCTGCATTTCAACAGCAGGCGCATCTCCTCTCAAATGACTCTCTCCGACCCCCGCCCCAAGCTACTGAAAAAGGAAACATGCGCACTTCAGAGCTAGAAGCTGTCCGAGTGCTGAAATTTATAGGCTGGGTAAGATCACGTCTCCGTCTCTTTCTGTAGCCCTCATTCCAGCACAGGATCTCAGCATTTTTTCCCCTCTTTCCCCCAACCACTCCATTACACGGAGTCTTTTCTTCTCCCTCATTTACAACTTCTTTTAAAAAGAGAACATTTCCTAAGGAAAGGGTTTTGCTGAATAGAAAAGATATAAAACAAAAGCTACAGCAGCCCGACTTCCAGTGTGGCATTGTCACCAGCCCCCTTTGCATGGTGATGCGATTAAGGTAGGAGCTTTTTTGTTATTCAGGAAAAGCAGCTAGGGGATTCATCAGTTCTAAGGCTTTGTCTCTCCTGGGCTAACTGATGGTTCTGAGCCTTGGTTTGACCTGACCATGATTCCCAAGACTGGCACTTTTTGTTTTTTCTCAGCAAACTATACAACCCCAAATCTCTTTTTGATTTTCAAGGAAACTAGATTCCTGCCAGATTTTGAGTCTGGACAATAAATAGACACTTTGTCCTAGTCTTCTTTCTGGAATCATTTCGGGATATTTCCACAAGCATCACAGAAACAGGAATGAACCGGCAGCTAGTGAACATTTTGACAGCCTTCTTTGCATTTTTCTTAGGGACGAACCACTTCAGGTAGGTGAAATGATTTTGTATGCTTATATTTTCCACATGAAAACTGTTTTAAAGAGAAAGTATGTAATGATCTGTCTGTCTGTTCCCTGAATCCTACTATTTCAATGTTGGAGAGGAGAGTTTGCTTTCTTTTGTTCATTTAAAAAGCTTAATTATGGTGGGAGGGAGGCAAATGTTCACAAAAGCAAGTTTTATGCATTTTGACACACATTTTCGGTCAATGTGATATTAAGATTAGACTAATGAGTTGTGTGCTCTTTACATTTCTGTGTAAGGTTGATATCTCTTGCGTTCAAATTCTTCTGGAAGTCATTTAAAGGAATTATTGGGTGCAATGTTCTTTTTTCATATGGTGGAAGTGACTGGATTAATTTCCCAAAAGCATGCTTATTATAGGTAAAATAAATAAGAATGCTGATTCTCAACCGACTTGGGACTTCTATTAATTTTCACTAACTAAAATGATACTATGAAGTCTATGATTTAGAAAATTTTTTCAAGTAATAAATATCTTTATACAACTCTATCCTACTGTTCAGTCTATTTGAGAATTGATTGCATATCAAAATTTAATTAAAAATGACATCTTTGTACTTCTGCCTGTATGAGAAATGGGGTGTGGATAATGAAAACAAGTGAGATGTCATATTTGCATGCTTGTATTTTCTACATAATTTACTAATTGTGAAATCAATTGAAACTTCAAAATATCAATTTTATTGCCAGTGAGTGAAATATCCAGTTAATGACATAGAGTCTAAGACAGGCTAGACATAAAAATGCAATTATAACTAAATATAGGTCATTTAATGTTTTAAAAGATTTTATGCTATTTTTTTCACAGAACCAGGAGAAATTGAACACATAGAAATAATGCTATGGGTACTGGGAAAACTCCCTATGTTCTTTTCAGGTTTACACCTCTTACTATCATTAAGAAAGATTGTACTCTGGGTTTTTATTAGAGTCATCACCATCATCATCATCATCATCATCATCCTCACTCCAACCACCATCATAATAAAATAATACTCAATTAATCAGATGAATCTGCATATAGAAATGTGAGTATTTCTGGATGACAGTATCAATTTTTAACTCCCACCAAATGTTCATATCATTTTGAACTTATAAGTAATGCCTCTGATTTGAAAAACTGGTATGATTGTTATATTATCTTAATGGCAGAAATAAATAATTTAAAACACATGCATATATATGTAGTACATATATATATACACATATATACCTATATATATACATATACATATATATGTGTGTGTGATCACACAAACACTTTAGTGACATTCAGTCAACTACCAATGTATTATCAAAGAATCTATTTTGTTGCAAAATAAATATGTGATTTTATATGCTCTTTATGACTTCTGATATAGATATCAAAATCTGACAAATTTTCCCATTACCTTTTCCTGGTTTTGATCATGTAAAAGCTCCAATGACTTAGAAATGATATTCCATTAATGCTTTATTGGAGAATCAGCAATTTATATGTCCATATATGAATAAGAACTGAGAAAATAATTCAAGTAACATATTCATTATTGGTCTATTTTCAAATGGTGGTAAAATTCCAAGTGAAGGTTAATTTTTCAGATAATACATTGGAAAAGACTAAAGCTTGTGTCTGCAATAGAATGGTAGCAAGTGAGAAAATATGCATGTAATAATTAATTGTATTATTTAGTCCATCTTATTATTATATATTTCTCATAAATGGTAAAAGATAAGCTTAAAGCTGAAATGTAACAATTTTTATAGTCATAAAGAATTGATATTATATTATCATATAAATTTAAATAACTGTCTTCAGTTCTCTGATAATTCTAAAAACAAAAATCCTTTAAACATCCATAAATTTTGAACCTGAATCTATATACATTTTCCCACCTTAAACAAAATATGATTAAGATGCAGAAACTTTGTTGACATTGCTCAGGATTTATTGTTCTCATCAGTTGAAGTTAACTTTAAAGAATGTTCAAGTTGAGAAGTTGATCAAGACCACAAATTTTTCTATTTTTCTTCTTGTTAGTATCTTAAACATCTTTTCCAAAATGCAGTTCAAATGTTCTGTATTAGTTATCAAAGGATGAAAGGGTAATTCTTACTAAAAGAGTTAATAATGTGTTTAGGGAAGGTTTCTGCAAAGATCATGACTCCAGGTCTGGAAAACATCCCTCGCAGACCCTATCTCCTTCAGATTTCTTGGATAAATTAATGGGAAGAACATCGGGATATGATGCGAGAATCAGGCCAAATTTTAAAGGTAGGTGCCAGTGAAAGCTTATGTTGCAGCTTTGTGAAATGTCTCAGGTAGAAGAATACTTTGCACTGAAATACACATTCATTGCACACTTTTGGGCTCACTGTAAAACAGAATCAGCAAGTATGTCATTAGTTTTATTTCAGCCTTCTTTTAAATATTTCTAGATTTGAACATTTTACATATTGCTTAGCACTTGTCATGTTCAAAAACTTTCTTTGGTTTTATTCTATTCTGCAAGTAATCCTAGTGGCAGAGATTATTGTCACAATTCTTATTTTGCCGTAATTTGGACTATGGCTGAAAGTGACTACAAGAACAAATGATAGAGTTTGCTTGCATGAAAATCTGTGAAGACACACACCAAGTTCAAAGTGTACACCAAAATACTGAGTTGTTTTCAATATCCATGTGAGTGTAAAATTTGCATTTTAATATAATACCTGATATTTTGTAATCTTCCAGGCCTCTAACTTTTGAACTCTGTTAGAAAAGGCTTAAATTTAATATATCAGATACTTTCAATTCCAAGTTACTTAAATATTCCAATTGTTGAATTGAAATTATTTATTTGAAATTAGTGAAAAGAAGTGGTATAGGAATCTAAAATACACCTGTCAGAGATGGTAAATACTTTTTTGTCTAGTTGGAAGAAAATAAAAGGTTAATCTTATTTTTTCTTGTTTAACATTACAAAATACAGTTATTAGTCTGTAGAAGTAATTGATTTGTCCATTTATTCCTGTTTATTTTAAATCAGAAAATAACTGTTTTAAAGAAACAAACAATTGTTGCTAGAATTGAATTGTTCTGATGCTTTTGTTTTTAATGCATGTTTTAAATATCAAGTGTCCTTTCTAACCTATTGAGTGTAACATACTATACTGTGAAATATGTATGATATTTTATAAAGGGGGATACTTTGGATCTAACTATTGTATAGCAATACATACATCACTTTGCTTTTGCTCATCAATAATTTAATCATGTTACTTTCCTGGAGTTTTGATTCCTATTATTGGCAAATATGAGCATGAAACTAAATTCTAAATTGAATTCTTCTTTAAATGTAATGCCTCTGAATATACCCAGTTTGAGCACACTCCATATATCATAATTCTGGCAAAACAAATATCCTTTTAATTAAAAATGTTTCTTAAAAAGACAACTAAGTTCAGCTTTCCTGAAGAAAATCTGTAAGTTCATTCAATTTTCTACAATTTTGTGGCTACTTCTCAGGAACTCAATGTTTGAAATGGAGTTATATGATTAACAAGCCAAGAGTCAGCTTTCAATAATATTGTTCATTCACATACATAGAGTGTAAACCATATATGTAACACTAGTGCTGGGTGCTTTGGAAAACTGAGAGAGGAAACAGGTGTGTGCACACAAAACATTCAATGTGGTAAAGATGTTGTATGAATAAGTAAAGTATTTGAAATTAAGTACCGTGGCATAGTATGGATATAATACAACAAGTTCCCTCATACTGTAGAGAGAATTTCCTACTAAGCCCTTAATAGAAAGCCTCATTTTTATCCAGATAGGGAAAACTCAAGTTCATAAGTAGTTTTTCATGATTAGAGTAATTGTTATCACTGCCAAATATCAGTAAAGCAAGCATATGTGTGACTATGTAGTGATTTAATATGCACATAGAATGAATTACAATTTTTCACAATTTTTTTCTCTACTGTTTCTTCTGTGAATGACACGCTTTACAAATGATGCTTATAGTTCTAAAACATCAATGAACAAAGAGGCTGGGGTTAGCAGTGCGAAGTCACCCCTTTGTGATCTACTCAATGTGTAAAGAAAAAAATAGAGAACTTTTAAAGGATTGATTTAAGATAGATGAAAAAGAATATCACTTTCCATTCTAAAGCGAATGAATGCCATTGAGTTTTGTCTTCTCCCTTTAACTCTCCACTACAATGAACACTATTATTTTCTCACAACCTTATTTAGATAGACCATTTATATTCGACCAGATCAATTATGTGATGTCTTTCCAAGGTGTTCTTTAGTTTAGGGAGCTTGGTGTTTCAATGTGAATGACTCTTTAATATTTTGAGGTAAAATAATTTCTTATCCTTGGCACTCTAATGGAACATTATATGTCTAATAAGATAAATATCCGTATTTGTGCCTCATTCATCTACTCTACACTGTACTTAAGAAGACAGGATGGTATCATATTCTATAGATACACACATGAATTTTTGGCAGGTTAAGGCAAGTAACTCATCCTTTTTAGTAGAATGAGAAAATAAGAAATAAGAGAAAGAAATGCAAATTAAGTTAGGAAAATGATTGCTTCTAATTAACTTACTAGATGTTGAGAGTGGGACTTTGGACAGCAGTAGACATAGTGACAAATAAAAATTATGTTAAATTAGTGTCGAGAACAAAATTAAAATCGAGAAATAATTGGAAACTTGGAGCATCAAGAACCTAGGAAGTACTTACAATTTTTTGTAAATGTATGAATGAGATGTTGAAAGGAAGAACAATTAAGAGATGTGACTGCATCTGGAATAGGGAGAGACTACTTCCAAAGCAAGGAATGATAATAATAAACATGTTGATCTTGATATTGATAATAACAGTGGTAAAGAAGAAGAGAGAAAGACAAATTCTTACCATAAGAACAAAAGCCACACCAAATACGGGCTACTAAGATCAGGTGAATAGCTACTCCATGAGCTTTGGGAAATTGTAGGAAATTTCTCTGCTTTCCCTACTCCATCTCATTGGAAAATGAAAAATCAAATATAAATGTGTAACTTTTTCCTACTAGAAAGCATTTTTTCCTATGTACTTTCAAGTCGGGAAAATATTTCATGTCTATTCCCTTTCCCTGATGGGTTTTGAAAGATGTTGTAATGGACATACATATATGAAGGAAGATGGATGCAAACTAGGAAAAGAAACAAGAAACAATTCAGTCTTAATCCCTGTAATTGAGAGACATTGTTAGAAACTATAGCTAAAAAGTAGCTTTTCTTATTATACAAGTGTATAAACAAAATCAAGAGTCAGAATTGCCAATTGAATTCTATATGTAAGATTCATAGAGATGCAAATCAGACCCTGTCAAAACTTAAATTTTCAAATTTTCTTGTTAAAAAACAAAACAAAACAAGTAATGCCCATTCACAATTACATTGTCCTAAAACCATGGAAACTGTTGATTCTGTATCAACAGAGATTCTTCTTTCCTCCACTTAAGTGACTGGTCTCATTTATCACAGTGCTGTGTTCCATCATCCTATCACATTTGCCTTTGTCACTGTTATTGTACCTTGAAAATGTTATTTTCAACACTAAGCATTTAATGAAATGCTCAAACACGGATAAAATGCATTAGCTCTGTTTCTCTCATTTTGAAACAAAGCCTTTATCTCTTTTAATACAATTTTCTTAGAAATAAAATTAACTTCAAGTTAAATCCTGAATCTCATCCCAGTGTGAACAAATGCACTGCACTGCTGCAATCAGAAGGATAGGATTTGGAATAGCTAATAACAGGGCAGGAATATCCCTTCCTCATCTTTGTGCTTGCTATGCAAACTAATTTTTCTCATATATAGATATCTATGTTTGAAACTAGGATATGTGACATTAAAACCTACATTTGTACTCAATATATCTTTCTGAAATTTCCAATGAGTTAGTAACTAAATAAATGTTTCATATACAGTTAGAGCTGGGTTGATCCTCTTCCATGAAACCAAAGATCTTCAGGCTTTGACTTTTGGAGAGTATAGCACAATTCAGTTGAAGTTCAGATACGGATATCAACTCCTGTCCAGCTGAAACAGGTGAAAATGATACCTTTCTCAGTTACAAATAAAGTAGTCAACCATGACCATGTGTTTGATCACATGGACAATGGGCATTACTTTGAATTCTAAAAATGAAGAATAGGATGCTTCTAAGTATGAGGCATGAGTCTGAAGAAAGTATTAAAAGCCCTCAGGCAACCTAAAGGGTACCAAAACCTTGCCTATTCTGAGATCTCCACTTTATTAGGAACTGCAGAAAACATCGTCTCAGTTACTTTGGTAAAAATTATGGAATCATATGAACTATCCATTGCATGAGCACTTTCATCACAGAATTCTTACTCTGCTTTAATTTAGGATTTCCCAGAGTTAATCAACTGGTTTGAGGTTTATTCATTTTTCAAGCCTTGGAATGGGGAGCAAAGCCCAAATCAATGTTGAAACATATTAGGGTAATTGCTAGAAAATATAAAATGCTTGTTTTTCATATATCTATAAGTTTCAGTTTAAAAATATGAAGTATACAAATGCAGCATGTGCTTTTTTTGAGACACCAGTTTTTAAAATTATGGCAGCAGTATTTATTTCAAGTGGACTAGAACTAAGCCAAATTACAAGATGATTGTCATTTCTATTAGGAAAAAATGTCCTTGGCTATATATTGAAAATTAAAGAAACTAGAAATATGAAGAAACTAGAAGAAAACTAAGAGAAAGAAAAGAAAGAACATTAGATTATTGAAAATAAGAATGCTATATTTTAGAACAAATTGTAAAACCACTTCCCAAAGTGTTTTCAGTATGTTTATACATCACTTTCCAGTGTACACATAAAATGGATATATGTGTTTCTACATAAATCTTGATTGTATATGCACTAAAATATCTAAAATATATAGATGAGAATATTGGTTGCCTCTAAGAAGTGCGAGTAGTTACCAGGGTACCTAGGATCAAAAGAATTTTCCTTTTTTCAACATGTCTGAATTTTGGTCATTACACACACTTCTATTTCCAAAGGAGAACTAATTTGTAAATATTTATTGAAATGCAGAATTCAAGGAATATTCTCTTTCTCAAATTGTTCAGGCTTTAATTACAGATTAGAACAAATGCCTCTTTAGGTACAGTAATGTGAGTGTGGCCTGATTTCAATGATATTCAAAACTCCTGTCTGAAATTCCCTGACTAATGTATTTCTTAAATTAGCTTG